GATGTACACTATTTAGAAAATCACTTTTTAATGCACATATACCTAATGCCATTCTTTTTCATGATAACTGTGAACTCATTTGTTTTAATTAAAGTTTTCTGTTTGTCATTTTGAATTGCTATCCTCCTTTGAATTAAAAAACAACAAACACAAAAGTGACAAATCTTGAATGTGTTTTCTTTGTATGATATGAGACGGTAAGTTCAGTACATGTGACCAAAACACAGTATGTACCTAAAATATTAGCCTCCTTGTTAGTTGCGCATTAAGATTTACAGTGTGAAACAGTTAAAGGGGAATTGCGCTGATTTTTCAACATTTCTGTGTAATTACCTTGTTAAGATGTAGATTGATTTTATATAGTGCTTTTTACACCCGACGTTGTCACAAAGCAGCTTTACAGAAAAACTCCTGGTCCGAGCCCCCATTAGCAAGCCAATGGCAACAGTGGCAAGGAAAACTTCCCTAAGAGCAAGAGGATGAAACCTTGAGAGGAACCAAGACTCAAAAGGGGAACCCATCCTCCTCTGAATCTGGTCGATACTGAATAGGAAACAATAACAGCAGAGAATGAGGTTTGACCATCATTATAAGAAACATCACAGAAAATGGTTACCATTACACTGCCTGAAGCCTGAGACATGTTCTATAATAGTTTTGAGATACGGTTTTGGTCTAAAACACTGTTTAAACGGAGGGGTACATGCAAAGAAAACTCAAAGAAACATTTTTTTCAGCATTTTATCGTTACTAACATTATACATGAAAATTCAGCCAGGTGTAAGTTTACTGGTGGTTTTTGGTAGTAAATAAAATGTCTGTGTTTTATTCCAAATTGTGGTTCTCTACTGTGAACCATGTCACACTCAAATACTTTGAATAACTTTGTTTACAATGTTAGATTTAGAATTTAGGGATGAACTGAATATTGTTACTGCCTTTAAATATTATTTTCTGTGATTGTTACTCCTTATATTTTTATTTAGATGTTTAAAGTATGTGTTATAGATTTCAAAGATCCACATTTTAAAATGATGTTTTTATTGTTATTTTATGAGAAGTGGCACTGTACTTGCTGCAGAGTGCATGGACTGAGTGACCTATGATGCTGTGCAAAGTGGGGCTTTAACAATATTGTCACAACATCGTAACAATCATGTGGAGTTTACTCCAGCGTCAGTGTGTAGTTGATTTTTTACAGACATTTAAGAGTTTGTTGGGACAGGGTTTAGTCCAGGCAGGCTCTAGTCTGGGTTGTGTAGAGCATGAAATGTCTGTAAAAAAGCACCACTACATGAACAAGCCCAACGTGAGCCAGACTTTGCATGTTAAAAAATACAAGAACAATATTTTGTTGGGCCCTGTTAGATAAAAACTATAGATAAAATGTTTCTCTGTTAGCAGGACAATAGAGAGGAGATGTGTAGAAAAGATGGTATGTTTTAAGTGAAAACACAGTTTTATATTGTGCGCACAAATGTGATTTTTTTAATAAACAGCTTGCACTACTATGTAACTGATGAGTTGAACATGCCTGAGATTAGTAGTACAGGGAGTTGCTACCATCAGTCAGCTTGAGCTCAACATTAAAGTTCATATAAATAAAAGTTCTGACTCTTAATATTACAGTTAAAATGAGGTTCAAATTATGTTTTGTTGATTTTCTAAGTGAAAATAAGTTATGCATCCTCCACAGAGAACACAGCACATTTTAATGCACATTCACTAAGTTTATATTGGAAAAAATAAAACATAAAATGTGGCCTGTGCAAAAACTGTTAAACTTAGCACATACATAGAGATTCTGCATTAGAATCTGCAAATAAGTGCCATATTTTAAGTGTGTTATCTGTAGAGGATGTGTAACTTATTTTCTTTTAGAAAATTGACTGGGGTGTTCAAACTTTTGTGTTTGACTGTATATTTTTGGCACAGTACCCACACTTTCTCTTACGTATAACGTACTTTTTCCACTCCTGCCAAAAACGCAATACATCCATTGACTAATTGTATTGCTACGTTAAGATTTGCAGTGTGATTAAGTTAAAACAGACTTTGTTGTCTAATGTAATTAAAACTTCAGTAGTGTGATGCATGTGTACTTTACGCCATGCTCAGATGTTTGTGTGTATGTATGTGTGTGTGTGGAGGTGGCTGGTTGGTGTTATGTGCCGCTTGCTGTCTGTAACCACTGCAGCCACAAATAAGATCAGAGAGCATCAGTCACTCTGCAGCAGCTAACAGCTAATCAGCTCATCAGCTCTGCAAACTGTGCTGAAGCTGCTCTGTTTGTTTTTACGATAAACACCTTCAGCTGCACTGCATGCAGACCTTCACCACACTTTCCTACCACACAAACTTTCCAACAGACCCTTTGAAGTGTCATACCGGCCTTTGATGATCTTAATACCAAAAAAAGTCAAAAGACGAGTGAAGCGCAGCCAAATTCAAACCTACTAGATCTCCACATAAGGGTTCCTCCTAATTTGTATGTACGGTGGCCTAGAGACAGACAATAACTGGAAAAGACTTATATGCATCTTACTGTGGATGTGTAATCAGAACATTCAGAAAAATTCATATAAATGTTAGAAATAGTAAGTTATGAACTGGAACATATTTCAATATCATTGTGATGTACGAGGCTCACCTCATACTAGTGATATGTTTTGCGTACATACATTGCTGTTTAATGCTGTTTGGAACCACTTGTTATATACATACATTGTAATTGTTTTGGACCTAATATGAAAAAACAGCTTTGATGATGAATAAACTGACCAAAAAGTTAAGAACTTCTTTCTTTTTAACATTTTGCTGATTTACAAGAACTGTAATTATAACTGTAGTAATGTAAATGAAACCTATACCTGTTATAAACTGCAAATCAAAAAGTATTTTTACATGCTTTGTTCAGTATTTCAAGGATTTTTTGAAGATTTTTCAAGGAATATATATTTTATACTGTACATTATTAACTGTAAATTACCAATTTACAGTAACTTATTGTGAAGTTTTCTACTCAAGATTTGATCACCACATTTCAAAAACAAGGCATTCTGGAAATTAAAGTTATTGGATCTTCAACCTTGATATCACTCAGCTTTCTCAGTCATTTGTAAAAGAATCCACAGCTCCATTTAAAATTCTGGATTTAAATTGTCTTCACTCTTAAAACTGTAATACTACACAGCACTGCAGCAGAGCCAGTTCCTTTTATACACTTTTATACACTGTAAAAATCTTACAGAAATAGCATCAATGGCAGTGACTGAACTCACACTCTAGTGTATTTTATTTGATTGTTTTTTTAACATTTATTACAGTTCCTGATCAAAATGGATGAAGTTTTTTATTTCTGATATCATATGGTATGAACAGGATATATGGGGGGCTCAAGTAGATCAATAATTGTTTCAAAGACGCTGCTCAAATATTCAGAAATGACCCAGATAATGTACAGCCATATGCAAAAGTTTGAGCACCCCTGATGGCATGTTTTGTTGATTTACCAAGTGGAAATAAGTTAACACACCATCCACAGGGAACACACTTGACATTTGCAACTACAATTTCTATTTAATTGCTTAATTTAACATATTGAAATAAAACTACATGAAACTTAAAATAAAACTTTCACAGGCCACATTTATTTTGTTAATATCAGCAAATAAACAGTGTGTTAGAATTTGCAGAATTGTGCTTTGGATGTGTAATTTATCTTCACTCAGTTTGACCAGGGGTGCCCAAAGTTTTGCATAGGACCATAGGTGTGTAAACAGAACATTTTTATAAATTTAACCAAATGCAATATATAATAAACATTTGGACACACTTTTGGACAGTGCATGAGTGGAAAGAATATTAAACACATCTTTATGATCATATGGCTTTGTAATGAATTCATATCTGTTTGGCAAACCATAAATATTTGTGAATTAACTCATACACAGGCTGAGGGCGGTCCCTGACTGGAAAAGACTGAAAGGACTGATATATGGATGTTCAAGAAGTGGCTGTAGGTAGTTTTATACACTCTTAAAAAAGATGGTTCTTCAAGGGTTCTTTAGTAAAGACAGTGGCTCTACATACAACCATAAACACTCAAAGAACCATTTGCATGCTTAAAGCGTTCTTTGCATGGTGAAATGGTTTTATACAGAACTTTTTTGAACCGCAAAAAGTGTTCTTCTACTGTTACAAGCGTAGCATCATAACAACAGCAGAACCCCCATTTTTTTATTATTATTTTTTTTTGCTATGCAAAACCATTTTCTACGTAGAACCATATTCTCCACCAATCTGAGGAACCATTTCACCATGCAAAGAACCATTTAAGCATGCAAATGGTTCTTTGCGTGTTTATGGTTCTATATAGAACTATTGTCTTTGCCAAAGAACCCTTGAAGAGCCATCTTTTTAAGAGTGTATTGTGCAGGCGGTTCATTCGTCAAGGTACAATGTAAATGTATCCTCAGTGGTGCAACAGTGGTTTTTAGGTCCAACTGTGTAACTTAAATATGATTTTCCCAGGAATAAAGTACCTATTTATAACCTAATATTTTAAAACAGGACTAAAATAAAAAGGCTGGAGACGAGACGGGGTGTGTGGAGTCAATACAACTTAGAAAATATAATTTAAATGGATTATGGTACAATTATGTTCCCCAACTAAAGGTACTGAAGACATACCTTTGAAGGTACCACCCCAGTGACAGTTTAACCATTTTTCTGAGAGTGTATCGTGACATTCCACCACTAAACTGGATAACAGTGATTAATGATTAATCTTAAAGAGCTACACTGCCCCGGTGTGAATCTGTGTATCATCACTGTGAGATTTATGATGAGATCCTCTATTAGAAAGAGTTCAGTAATACTGATGATGATCTTTGTGCTGAAGTGATTTGGAAAAATTCATTCCTGATCAGGATTGATGCCAAATGATCATGTAGACATTGATGCTGAAGCCAGTTTTATTTGAAAGTTACTTTGAAAAAATATCAAACATTTTTAAAAGCATAAACTGGTGATTTTGTTGAAATAGAGACAAAAAGAGATACAGGTTGAGCAAAAACAGGTCTATATATGCTTATAACACCTAATCAGCCAAAACATTCTCCAACATTTCTGCCTCTATTTTCTTAAAATAATGAATGCATGCTAAATATACTAGAATAAAAGGAGAGAACACAGTCATATGCAAAAACACCCACTGTCAAGTGACACCTCCTGTAGAGAGAACACACCTAAATATGACATTTGTTTGCAAATTTTAGTGCACAATTTTATCTATTGCTGAGTTTAACATATTAGAAAAAATAAAACATAGAATATAAAATGTGCCATAATTTTTACAAAGGCCATTTTTTCTGGTATGTTAAATCCAGCAAATAAACAGTAATAGAGCATTAAAATGTGCAGAAGTGTGTTCCCTATGGAGGATGTGTAACTCACTTTTATTTAGAAAATCAACGTGTAATTTAACCAGTGGTGCCCAAACATTTGCATAAGACTGTATGCAATGTTCAAAGATTAATAACGTAGATTGATTAATACAGGAAAAGTGTAAAAGTGACTGTATACAAACAAAAGTACATTTAAAAAACACATCTTTACAGTCTAATCAGCCTGATGTGGCTTAAAACGTTTTTTTTGGTCATTTTCTCGTTTTGCAGAATATAATCAGAAAAAAGAAATCACAAATCATACTTATACCAAGAGATCTAAGGCTAGCAGGCAACGAATAAAAGGATTAAAATAAAAGCTTAAACTGTTAAGAGGAAAAAAAGAAAAGAGAGAAAAAAATATACACTACCAGTCAAAAGTTTGGACACATCTACTCATATATCTATTTATTTACTATTTTCCGTATTTGTGGAACAATACGTCAAAATATTGAAGACATCAAACTATGAAATAGTTCATATGGAGTTACTGGATTTGTACCTAGTAAGGCTTTTTCTCACAAAGCTGATTGGCTGAAATGCGTTAACGAGGACTGAAATTCAGCTAATTAACTTTTAATGAGACACACATAGTAATTATAATGTCATAATGGTTGTGGTTCCATCTCTAAAGTCCTAAATGTAAACTACTTCTTTCAAGAAATATTGTTTATCATTACTATTTTTGTTTATTTGTTTTGGATTGGCGTCAATTTGAATATTAATATGTGCCTTGGAAACAACTCTGACAATCATTCAGATCTAAATGCCTTTAAGATTATGAAAAACATATAGTAAGGTGTGTCCAGTCTTTTGACTACTAGCGTATGTAAAATATCTGAAACTCCTCAGTCGTCCTAGTTTGATGTTGGACTGGGTTTGCTAAGTGTCTCACTGTTTCCGGCTCTCCTCTTGTACAGTAAGACCCCCACAGCACAGAAATACAGCACGTTCTTCACCAGCAGAGACACGTACGTGAGATTGAACAGATACAGTCTGTGCACCAGCTCCGAGGAAGCTGCAGAGAAGACAATGAGAAAGGCAGTGAGATTATGAACTGCATTAGAGTGTTTACCTTTACATTTCTTACTTTTATTTACCTTTACATTGTTTACAGCTTATATTCCATTTTGCTTTTTATATGTAGAGCAGTAGTAGCATGTATACACTTAAAAATATGGTTCTTCAAGGGTTCTTTAGTAAAGAAAATGGTTCTAAATAGAATTATGAACAAAGAACTCTTTGCATGATTAATTGGGTCTTTGCATCGTGAAAAGGTTCTTCAGATTAATGGAGAATATGCTTTAGATGGTTCTATATAAACCTTTCTGAAAAGAGTTCTATATAGCACCAAAAAGGGTTCTTCTATTGTTACAAGCTTGATGTCATAACAATAGAAGAACGCTTTTTGGTGCTATATAGAACCATTTTCAAAAAGAGCCATGGTACAGAACCATATACAGCAGATTCTCCATCAGTCTGAAGAACTCTTTCACGATGCACTTAATCATGCAAAGAGTTCTTCAATTGTTCATGGTTCTATATAGAACCATTTTCTTTACTAAAGAACCCTTGAAGAACCACCTTTTTATGAGTTTAGTTCAGCTAATGAAAGAATGAAAAGGGTAATGTACAAGTGCTATTCCTTTCCCAAACCATGGTAACACTTTATTGTAGGCCATATGACACCTACATAAGCTCATCTTGACCACTGACATCACTGTTCAAAACAAACCGGACCAATAGAAGTGCCCCAAAATGACTTAGGATAAAATCTCTTTACATTAACTTTCATTGAAAGTTAAGAGTGTTTTTGCCCTCTCCTGTAAAGTTACCATTTTGGAGATGCATGCTTTTCTTTAAACAGTGACGACGTTTAAACACTTGTTCCAATGAACGCCATCTGTCTTAAAGGCTGCTTTTGCTAACTTTGATTAAGTTGACCCAACATCTGTGTCCGGTGATGCAGATTTTTTCTGACTTCAGATTATAACGAGACCTTCTGGGCTGAAATGAAGTAGCTCAGTGTGAGTCACTGATAATATGGCGCAGCTTTCCATTATGATATGGACCATTCTACAGAAATACTTCAATAGTGAACAAACTATTAAAAAACTATTTGTGTTCAGAACTCATTATTATTTTTATTATTATTATTATTATTATTTAGATAGTAATAAGCTAAATATTTACCAAATCTTATCCACAAAGGGTCAGTGTGGTTGCAGGTTTTCACTCCAACAAAGCGGGAGATCACCTGATCAGCAGTTTGAAGACTAAAACCAACTGATTAAACAAGTGGAGTCAGGTGTGCTCCAGCTTGTTAGGAGTGAAAACCTGCAGCCACACCAGTCCTTTGTGGATTAGACTGGACACCACTGATTTATAGGGTTGTTTCTATTGGCAGCTGGCTGTCCCAAACCCCAAAAATAGTATTTTTTCAACATTGTCTTTAAAAAGAACTTATTGATTGACTTGATTCATTTTGAAGTTGATTTAGATTTATCATGAGTTTAATTATTGAATTTAAACAAAAAATGCTGTCCCACATTTTCATGTGACTACCAAAACACTGAGAGTTTTAGTCTGTAGGCGGACCCTTATTTTGGCTTTTTGGAGCAGGAAGTGAGACTGCATCCCTGCCCCTCATGGCCACATAATGATCAGTTAGAGCCCATTGTTTTGAAATAAAAGTGTCCCAAATTCTGAAAAACTGTCACCACCAAAACAATATTTTCTGCAATTAGGAAAATCTTTTATGTTTTAACGAAAATATCAAGATTTTATGCATGTACAGTTGTTCAGAGCTGTGTTTGCTAGTCATGTACGGGGTAGCATTTTTGAGTTCTGCTCAAAGTTGGCTAAAATTGTCACTACCGTTACGAACAGCGTCCTACAGTAAAGTGTTACCCAAATTGTTAATTTGTTGACATAATATTTTTCTCATTGTAGCCATTTCAACAAGGAGTGCTTTCAGTATAAATCATTAGATAAACTGTGGCTTGTGTTTAAATCTCTTTACCAAAATTTGTGCCGTCCTCTTCTTTTTGGTCAGGTGATGGTGCACAGGTTGGAACTGTCCCAGCAACTGATTCATTCTTAGGTGGTGTATCAACTTCTGTAAGTTAATAACAAGATCATTTTTTAATGGAAATACAGAATGCTTGCGTTTCCTCATGGGTAAAGGAAAGAATCTACTTTATGTTCTTCCAGCTGCATGAATGACCTCAGTTTAAGCACACAGAAAGACAGCCAGCGAACATGATGAATACAATTAATGTATTTAAGTCACTTGAAGTGATACATTGTTAGATTGTTAATAATTGAATGTGTTAGATTCATGTGCTGCTCGTGAATTAAATTGAATTAGAGTGTTCATTTCTGAGGACACAGAAGCAGCATGGAGCAGTTACCTTTTGGAATGTTGACGTGCTTGTCTTCATTAGTATTGCTCTCATGTTGGACAAAGCAGGTGTATTGATTAGTCCTTGCTTTCTCTTTGTCTACAATGAGCATGCTGGTCACTCTGACCTCCGACTCATCGTTCTGCTCCATCAGATCACCTTCCACTTTATTACCACCTTCCTTCCATGTGAACCTCACCAGGTTTGGAGCCATGTCTCTGGCTTGACACAGCAGTACTCTCTTTTCATCGTCCTGTTTGACTATCGGGTACGCCGATAATTGAGGTGGTTTTACCTCAAGTGGCTTCTCTGTGGAGCACATACAATGTTCCTGTTATTCAGCAAGCAATAAACATCAGGTAGAACATTCTGAATTACTTACTACAGAGTAACAACACTTTTTAATTGGTTGTGCATTTCTATCAGTATATTAATCAAACACACCTAGGGAGCTGTAAAGATTCACTTAAAATGTGCAATCATTCTTTCATAAACAGCCAAACGGATCAGGAAAATGTAGACCAGGGTCAAACCTCATGATCTCAAGGGCAGTAGCACTGCAGACATTAATGTTTATCCTGTCTTGACAAGTGAATTGGATTGAACTGAACTGAATTGAATGGAAATGAATGTTTATCCCGTCTTGACACACCCAGTTCAACCTGGCATTAGTGTTTAGCAGACATTCTCTATAGTGTTTGTGAGGGTAAACCCTAAAGGCTGCAGTGCTGTGGCCCTCCAGAGCTGACATACCTGATTTAAACATTGGAAAAATACGAGAAATGTCAAAATGCTTGTCCGGATCTAACTGTGTATTAAATTATCTAGAACATAAGAATAAAGCCACACTCAAAGAAAAATATCTGTACACATTTTATCTATTCATATGAAATTACTCTTACTTCTACGAAATAGGGCTATTTAGACCCCGCCCTCCATTATCGCATCACAGCTGATTGGCTGAAATGTGTTAATGAGGACAGACGTTCCACTAATTAACTTCAAGCCAGAAAATATAATAATTATGATGCTATAATGATTGTGATCCCAACTGGATGTTTTCCAACTCCAAATATCCCTAACGTCCCAAATGAAAACTATCTTTCTCTTCTTTCTTTCTTTCTTTATTTATTATGTGTTTATTTGGTTGTTTGTTTCATACATAAGCATTCGTTTGAATATTCACATTTATCTTACAAACAACTTTAAGCTTAATCCTTTAGATCAAAATGTCTTTAAGATGATAAAAAACATGCAATGGGGTGCGTCCAAACTTTAGACTGGCATCATCAGGGTCTGATTTTTTAAGTAAATCTTGATTGTACATTTATGGTTTCCACTGATTCTAGATGATTCTATATTTTACATGATGCATTTTAGCAATCAGTGAATCTCTTAACACTTCATCCATGTGACACCCATTCAGATATATCATCACTGTCGGAATAAAACCTTGTATCTCCAAAACCTTAACTTTACAGGAGAGGACGAAAACATTCTTAAGTATCAATGTAAGTCAATGTTACAGTAGTTTTTTGTAAGGCATTTTGGTCAGTTTCTGTTGGTCCACTCATCATGGAATTTGAACACAATAAAAAAGGGCAAGAGGCATTTTAAACTTATGTAAAAAAACAAAGGAAAAACAACAAAAATGGAGATACAAGGTTTTGTTGCGAAAGCAGTGATATTTTGTTTTGTTTCCCCTGTCTAGTCATTTTTGTCGTGTGCATGTTCTGCATATTTATGGTTTGGTGTATTTATTGTATTTTCTGCACTTGTTTCACACTGTTTTGTATCTGCACTGTAGTCCTGTGTAATGTGCTGCTGTTGTGTGTTGCATCATGAAGCTTGAAGAACAATATTTTGTTCAATGTATACAAGGTATATTGAGATGACAATAAAGACCACTTTACTAATGTTTAGGATGTTTCAATTATCAATTTATCTTAAATTTGGAATAATCTAAAGTCAGTTTTTAGAATACTCTAAAGTCAGGATTGTTATTCCTGCTGTAACACTATATAATTCATTTACAATTTGTTTTAAATGAATTTTATAATGTTTGAAACTGGGGTCTTTTTATAAATGTTTTTATGTCTGCTATAGTATTGAATATCTTAACGTTGCATATGCATGCCTCCATCTTTAAACTGGTCATTTTTAACCACAAGATTTTATGTCTTTTTTGTGTATATTTTGGCAGTAGGCATGGAAACAATGGGGATTTAGCAATTCAGCAGCAAATTCAGGTGCTAGTAATTGAAAAACATTTTCTCAACAATAGCATAAACTATCTGAATGATTATTGTATTTTTAGTTCTTGCACAGTAAACGTACAGTAAAACTTACACAGTAAGACTTAATATGTTTCCGTTAGTCAACATCAACATGCCCACCAAAGCTACTGGTGTCTGTTTGGATTTTAGATTTTGATGAATTGCCACTTAGACACCAGCATTTTGTGCTAACTGGTTCTGGCTGGTTGTTTCAGAGCAACATGCAGTAAGGACATACAGTACTGTGCAAATGTCTTAGGCACCTAAACACAATGTTTAAAACTATTTCTCTTGGCAGTAAATTTGCTTTTGTTTCTAAAAATGTCATTCATCATTAGAGGAAATGTAAATAAACATAAACAGAGTAATAAGTATTTAAAAAAAAAAATTGGATCCACATGATGAAGCACTGATTAACCAAATCAGGTGCTGGATGGTAACTACAGATAACACTGGGCTTCCACAACTACAGGTTTGGAAATGGTTAAACGAACATATTAAAATAGGCTATGCAAAATCATACTTACTACATAATAAAGAGAATGTAACTAGCTAAAAAGTTTTTTTTTTTCTGTTAACACCTTAAAATCCAGGCTTATTACATACTAAGGCTTATTATTCAGTAAGTACTGGTACTTCAACGCAAACTGGCTGAGCAGAGAGGTGTGTAATAAAACTTTGGGCCCACCAATGGGCCCTGGCCATTTAGGGGTTAAAACTATCAATAATTGGAACAGTTTCTGCTTGCTTGCTAAATGCCATATCACCAATGTAATTAGTAAGATTCAAGTGTACGCATGGCCTCCATGTTAATATTTTTACTGTATGATTTAAGCTAATTTCATGTTTGAGCAGAAAATATTTATTTATTACTATCAAGCATTTAATTTTTTATATTTCATACTATTTGTGCTATATGTGTACAGGCAATAAATAATTGTATAAATAAGATACAATATTTATCAAATTTCACGTAGTTTTTGTTTGATCTGTGGTCAGCTTATATGTTTCATATGAAACTGAATACAATTACACAAACTAAATTAACTAAAAACTAAATTAATATTACATATTACAGTAAATATTATGGCAATTTAAAACAGAATTCCACTATTTTTTCAGAGTCAGAGTCAGATTTGTTCACAGTGGTGGTGATAGGAACCAGATGTCCAAAGCCTTTAATGTCCCTAACAGATCCCTCGCAGCAAGTTATTACATTAATAGTTATGAATACATTGGCTGATGGCTGAAGTCTTATTTTATGATAGTTTTGATTAAAGGTTTTTGCCTAAAACCTATTTTTTAAATCCATTGATGGCAGAGGGGTTCACACAGGAGCAGAACAGTCCCCAAAGAAAACACATTTTATTTTGAATGACCTCCTTTTTAATGTTGTCAACATCACATATAACACTTGGAAGACACATGTAGGCTCACAGGTGGTTTTAGATAGCAAATAAAATGACTATATTTGTGTTGTAGACATTACAAATCCTGGTTCCTATCACCACCACTGTGAAGAAAACTGAGTCGGTAATTTTCTCTATAATTAACTATTTTGCATCAAACCACTCTGAATGATTTTGTTTACATCTCAATGATTGAATTATGAAAAAAACTGGTGAAAGGAAATTAGCAATAAACATGTAAAGGACTGTAATATTCTTCTGAATTTGTCCCTAACACTCAAATTAAACATGCATTCCTTCTGTACTGCTTTGGTATAAAAATGAAAGGTTGTGATTACATCCTTTATAAAAATGCAAGCTTTGTGCATTTTGAATGTAGTTACTTGGCTGTTATTTTTAGTATATTTGATACCTGAACCGCCTTAATGTTCTGAATGTAACTTTACACAATATTAATAACTAATTTACAGCCTGGAGAGCTAAAACTGTGGAGTGATCTTACAAATACTATATTTCAATCTATGTGAAATCATTCCATTAAGCCATGTATGTAACTGGCTAAACATATTTCTTACCCTGCAATGATATTTTAATCAACATATTCAGTGTTTTTATTGTAATGCAGTCTGTTGAATAATTAAATGTTCTTTTTTTTATAGTTTATTTTACTCTATTTATGTGATTACGCTCCATTTGCTGCCTTCTTAACAGTTCAAACCACATAAAGCATTTTATCAGTTCTGTAGGCCAAAAAACTAAAGTCTACATATAAACAGAAAGTGAGAAATGTGTTCATACCAGTGACGATTAGCCACCTTCCAGATCCAAATATTTGCTAGGCATAGCCACACTTAGCGACAGCCTACAACAAATACCTCTACTTTAAACAGACCTACTGAAGTTGTGGAATTAGGGTCTAAATACTTTTGGGCTCAGAGACCTTGGATATATTTATATATGGATAAAATCCTTTTAGCAAGGCTTTTAACTAAGGGCTTTAAATGAAAACTCTTCTTCTGCAAAGATATTTTCATTACAGTTTTTTATATTACAATACATTTCACACTTTTTACTTCGTTCTGTTCTATTTAAAGCTGCCTTGATGAACTTTTAAGCTGCAAAAGGAACTGTAGGAATAAAACTGTCTTATCTCAATCAACTTTTATCAGTTCTGTCGGTTAAAAAGAGATTGCAAGATGTGTTCATACCAGTGACGATTAACCTCGTTCCAGATCCAAATACTTTGTAGGAGTAGTAGCCACCAGAGCTACACTTAGAAACAGACTATGACAAATACTCCTAACAACCACCTGGGAAATGAAGGAACCTCTTCCAGAGTCTTTAGCTAACTTTATGCTTCAGTTATGAATATTGAAGGTACCAAAGCTACAATTTCATCTGTATATCATACGATTACCCTGATGATGAGATAACGTCAGAAATTTGTTTAAGAGCTCAAAATGTTTTTGTAGCAATGCAAAAAGACTGTTTTCTTACCTGTTACGTTAAGTCTTGTGCCTGCACCAAACCTCTTAATCCAGTCACCCACAGTGACTTATTCAAGCACAAAAAGACCTGAACTGACCCTACGGTAGCTCATTTTCAGCTTTCTTTTTCACTGAAAATGTCCAGACTTCCATGTAAGAGTGACTTTAAGAGGTAAAGAGATCTAAATTAAAGTTTTGTGGTAGTTTAAATAATTGATGACAAACGACGGCTCTGGACATGTTATGAAGTTTCATTCTGTCAAACAGTCCACCATACAGTTTAGAATGATAGCATTTCTAAACTCTTTCCATTTTAAGTCCGGTGCAAGCTAATAGAGAAATATTATGACTACATTATTGGCAAATTAATTAGGACAATTTAAAATATTAAATTAACTCTCTAAAGTGAAGTTTAAAGTGGAATACCTTTTGATACCTAGACAAGCAATTTGAAACTGATTTTTGTATAACAGACTTCATAAAATACTAACATTTCTAATAAGCCAAGATTTTTAAATAAAAACATTTCATCCTCTACTATGATATTGTCCTCTGATTTTTCAGATTTGGTTTAACTTGTCCACTGTTCTACTTCATTTAACTATGTTCAATTCAAAGCTACTTTGTAGAGTTTTAACCTCTCAAACTCTGACACTTTTATCATGTCTTAATTTTTTATTCATTAGTTACATGGAATACAGTGCAAACTGGTTGAGTTATTCTTACATTATAGGAGTTAGGAATGGAAGCCGAAGCTTCAAAATGCACTACACTCTTAAAAATGCCTCATCTTGCCTCAATTATTCTTAGAATTCTTATCACTTCTGTAGGTAAAGAAATATATGTTAAAAATGTTCATACCGGTGACGATTAGCCGCGTTCCAGATCCAAAGACTTTGTAGTCATAGTCACACTTCACGACAGACTACAACAAATACCTCTACTATCAATAAACCTACTGAAGCTGTAGAATTATCATCCAAATACTTTTTTAAGGGCTTAGTGACCTTGGATATATATTTAAATCTGGACAACATGCTTTTAGCAAGGCTTTTAACTAAGGGCTTTAAATGAAAACTCCTTTTCCTCTGCAAAGATATTTTCATTACAATTTAAAAAAAATTTTCCATTTTGTAGAACTTTTCAACTACAAAACGAACTGCATTAATAAAACTGCCTCATTTTCACTTAGTTTAACAACTTTTATCAATTCTGTCAATGAAAAAGAGATTGCAAGAAGTGTTCATACCAGTGACGATTAGCCGCGTTCCAGATCCAAATACTTTGTAGTAGTAGCCAGAGCTACACTTAGAAACAGACTATAACAAATACTCCTAACAACTGCCTGGGAAATAGAGCAACCTGTTCCACAGTCTTTAGATTCTCAGTTACCTTTACTTTGCAGTTGTGAATATTGAAAGTACTGAAGCTAAGATTTCATTTGTATATCGTACGATTAACTTGATGATGAGATGATGTCAGAAATTTGTTTAAGAGCTCAAAATGTTTTTGTAGCAATGCAAAAAGACTGTTTTCTTACCTGTTACATAAAGTCTTGTGCCTGCGCCAAATCTCTTAATATAGACACCCACAGTGACTTATTCTAGCACAAAAAGACTTGGACTGAACTTACAGTCAGTTACAAGCTTACAGTAACTCAGATTCAGCTTTCATTTTCACTAAAAATGTCCAGATTTCCATGTAAGAGTGACTTCAAGAGTTAAACAGGCCTAAATTAAAGTTTTGTGGTACAGCTCTGAAATAGTCTATGTTCTCTTAAATAGTCTACTATACTTTTAAGAATCATACTGGAATTACATTTTGTATCATTTCTAAACACTTTACATTCTTAGTGCTGTCCATTTAACAAACTAATGGAGGAATATTATGAAGTATCATTAGTAAAGTAATTCAGACAATTCAAGATTGAAATTTACTCTCTAAAGTGGAAATTTGATCCCTACACAAGCAATTTGAAACTAATTTTTACATACAGACTTTTCATCCTCTGCTATGATTTTTCAGCTTTTGTTTAACTTTTCCACTGTATTTATTTTTATACTTTCTTTAACTAAGTTCAATTCAGAGCTACCTCTGTAGTGCTTTTAATCTCCAAACTCTGACAGATTTATTACATCCTAAGAGTTTTATTCGGTAATTACAGCGCACATTGAGTTATTCTTACTTTATAGGAGTTAGGAATGGAAGCCTGCAACTGCCAGCAGCTCCCGTAGAGTTTAAGAGGCTTCAAAAGGCTCTACATCACTAACAATACGTCAATTCATTTTGAACTTTTTATCATTTCTGTAGAGAAAAAAATGAATATTCAAAATGTGCTCATACCAGTGACGATTAGCCGCGTTCCAGATCCAAACACTTTGTAGGTATAGCCAGAGCCACACTTAGAAACAGACTATGGCAAAAACTCCTAACAACTGCCTGACAATTTAAACAAGCTCTTCCAGAGTCGTTGAGAACAGACACTGGCTTTATATCCCAGTCATGAAGACTGAGACAGTCAAACAGTTGATATGATGATTAAAAATGTCACAAATTGGGTGAAAGACCCCAGAACCTTTTTGGAGGAATGAATAAAGATGTTTTCTTACCTGTTACATAAAGTCTTGTGCCGGCACCGAAGATCTTCCTATCCACAGTGACTTATTCAAGCACAAAAAGCCCTGAACTGCCTTTCATATGCAGTAACTCAAGTTCTGCTTTCTTTTCCACTGAACATTTAAAGATGGACTCTTTTTTGTAAGGAGAGTCATGTACATGTCGTATATAAATGTTTGGGTGTCCCTGATCAAATTGGCATGTTTTGTTGATTTTCTACGTGTAAATAAGTGATCATATCCCCTCCTGAGCAAACTTTTACTGTTTATTAGCTGAATTTAACTGGCAAATTTTACTGTGGAAAAAAGAAAACATTAAATGTATTCTGTGCAAAAGTTCTACCACAGTTATCTCATTTTGTCCAATATGAAACTTATCCCAGTACTGAACTCAGCAAATAAATAGCAATTGTGCTCAGAAATTGATGGAAAAACTGCTACATTTACATGTTCTCTGGAAGCGTTTACATATTTTCGCCCAGTGTTCAAATTTTGCGTATGACCGAATGACTTCAAGTGTTTAACTGATGTTTTTGCTCTGGCAGTCAGTCTATGGTTGTGGCCGCTAGCATAACCAAACTTTGTGGCATCTGTTACAGTATTGTAATGTATGTAAGACCTTCACTGCATGCTAGTTTGAATATTTGATGGAAAACCACATGTCTAAAGCTAAAGTTCCACTCTCTCCTACAGAGTAATACTGGAATTTGATATCATTTCAAAGTATAGTTTCAGATATAGTTTGAAATGGAATAATTTGTGGATTTTGCGCCTCAGTAAGCAGTTTGAAAAGGTTTTTAGAATATATTTTTGTCAATATTTGTCGCATTTACTGAACATTTCCTTTCAATTTAAATCTGCTTTATAGACCGTCTAAACTGCAGTGTGCAATACATTAGTAAAAAGCCTCATCCTGTCTCTCTTGAACATTATATAATCATTATAGATATAAAAAGAAATTGCAAAATGTGTTCATACCAGTGACGATTAGCCGCGTTCCAGGTCCAAATACTTTATAGGCATAGCGAGAGCCGCACTTAGAAACAGACTACAGCAAATACCTCTAAACTGCTGCTAATCTGGCAAATAAAACAACCTTTTACAAGCTTTTTAGAATCGAATACATACACAAGCTTCTTTTCCCAGTAATGAATGTTGTAGATGCTGAAGCCAAAGCTTCATTTGCATTTGTAAGTCATAGGGTTAACCTGATGATCGGATAATGTCACAAATTTCACAAATTTGTTTAAGAGCGTTTTAGAAGCAATGCATAGGGATCATTTTCTTACCTGTGACATAAAGCCGCGTGCCTGCACCAAAGATCTTCTTCACTCTACCCACAATGTCTTATTCAAGCACAAAAAGACCTGAGCTGCCCTTATAGATATTACAGTAACTCTAAACACAGGTTCTGCTTTCATTTTCACTGGTAATATCCATATGTTTTACTCTGTGAGTCATGTAAGTGTTTAACAGATGTTTATTTGCCGTGTCTATAGTTCTGGCCACAGAAATAATTGAACTTTGAGGTGCCAGTTAGTGGTACTGTAAGAAATAGGCTCATTGCTGCCAAAGTCAAGCTTTTGATGGCAAAATTTGACCCTTAATTTATCCTCATAAAAACTTCATGACGTTTCTGGAATAGTTTAAAAAGACATTTTCTTACCTGTGACATAAAGTCTTGTGCCTGCGCCGAATCTCTTAACCCAGCCACCCACAATGTCTTATTCCAGCACAAAAAGACTGAACTGACCTTTACAGGCTTACAGTAGCTCAGGTTGTTTTCCTTTTTACTGCAAATATCCATAACCGATCTGTTTTGCGGGGAAGCCGTGTTTAAGAGTGACTTCAAGTGTCAACAGACGTTTTAGTCTAGATTATTAAACTCAAAAATACATATTTGAATCAGTTTACCTTGATCGTACCACTAGGTGCTGTCATGGCTGGCATTCTGATATCAAAAGCCCTTTAATATGTCACTTTGATGTTGATTATGTGCACCTGTCAGGCACTGATGACAGATATGCATAACAGACACTTTAATATAATGTATAGTTGCTTGAGGTAGGGGTTAAATTGTGCACTGAGCCGCTTTCAGTATATTTATTAATCTTTATAGTAATTGTGACAAAACATAAACTTGCGTCAGTGCCATACACCAGGGGTCATCAACTGGAAATGTGCCATGACTTATGCACAGACCACATTTTTGGTCTGCAGCAAAACAATTAACATATTTGAAAAAATGGTCATATTTCAGCGACACACATAAACATGAACAAGAAGTATGTGACCAAGGTAATCGGTCCTTAGAATCAGTCACAGTTGCTGCTAATAATGAAGGGGTGGTGCCAGGGAGGAACAGGAGCTGGATTGAGCCAGCTTGGGAAGCTGGTACTGGAACCGGCACAGGAGCTGCACAAGGAACCAGCAATGGAAGAGCAGCAGCTCTGGAATCTGGCATGGGAGCTGGAATCGATACTGTAAACCCTAACTCGTTGCCTCAAATCAATTAAGTTTTGAAACTCAGTTCTTTAAGTTGTTACATGGAGTTATATACTCAGGAGTGTATTTAAACTTTAGAGTATACATGAAGTTTACATGACACAAACTATACTGCTGCAGAAACCTTTAGGATGAAGTAACTACTACATTGTTTAATTATAGCTTTCACATCATTGACGTAATTATAATGATCACAGCTGTATATAAAAAAGTAGTGTACTCTGCAATTTGCTAGGAATTCTGGGTGACTCCACCCTGTACTCTCTCATTACTTGTCTTTTTCAGTTTGTACTTCTCACTAAAATAAGTACACTTGAATTTTCAGAGAGTACAGACAACCTGTCTGGACTGAGTGATAACTAATTGCAAGAAAATAAGTAATTATAACTTGCTTATTTTACCTTTCTAGATCACTGTACTGACACACTTCCGTCAAAGTGTCCAGTTATTCATACATCATTTTTAGGTATCAAATCGTCCAGCAATACAGTGATGAAATATACTGTTAGACAGCTTGAAATCTCAGGATTCGATTCCCACAAACCATTTTGTGATCCGTTATTCACAGCAGTTACAATAGTCTCATTTGCAACGTCAGCACTGAATGAGCAAACACTAGCAGATCTGTGGGTCTTTACCTTCAAAGCCTTGCTGCTCTCCACAGAGACATCATAATCCAAAACATGTGGTCCACCCAATACGGCAAGAGTCTGAGATCAGTTTAAAGATCTATGAGTCAGGTAGATATAAACTCCTCCATTCTGTGTCAGCAATTCTTTCAATTATTCTGATGGTTGGGAAAAAAAAAACTTGAGAGTGTTACCTTTCAAATTAGACCAACGCCATGACTGTAGCCCAGTCAAAAATGAGGTGACACAAAATTCAGGTCCAGAAAGTAAAAATCCTTCCCAGGATTTTGTTCCAACTGCCTGGACCGCTCTGCTGGTGGTTTGATCTAACTAGAGAAGCCAGGCCATTGGAACAAAATTTTTACCTTCTGGTCCTGAATTTTACACCTCTGGTACAAATAACATCAGGGCTTTCAGTGTGTGCAGAGCTGACACTGGCTAGTTGTTGCTATCCAGAGCACTAGGCAGTGTGGGAGGACCCAACATTGCCTCACTGGTGTTCTCTGGCATACTGGGTGGTGCTGTGGGACCGG